ATATATAGATGTATATATACATCTTAATTACATTAAAATAGAACCCAGTTATTTTAAATTGTAATAATATTTCACAATATTACTATTTTTACTGTTTTGATCAAACAAATGCAGCCCTGGTGAGCATAAGAGATTTCTTTCAAAGTCATTAAAAAATCTTTGACTCCAAACTTTTGAAACGTGAAATTTTGAAGAACTGTACTGTACTTTAATCGCTCAATTTGATGCAACTCCAACGAATGGAGACTAAGGCTTTAAGCTTCAAAAAAGATGCTAGAGCACCATAAAAGTATGAGGGTAAGTAAATAATAACAATTTTCATTTTTCAGTAAACTATTCCCTCAACTTGCTACCATTTCTAAACTTGTGTGTGTGTGTGTGTGTGTGTGTGTGTGTACATATATATATCAGCAGCAGATGTTGCAGCCGTAGTGGGTCTCAGAGATATCAGTGTGGCATATGGTTGCACTGAGTGAAAGATGGCTGCTGTCAGATGGAGAGAGAGAAGTGTAGAGCTCATTTATTTACTATGAGCAATCTACCTGCTGGAGGATGGAGGTGGAGTGAGGGAGCGATGGAGAGGTGAGAAAGAAAAAGAAGAAAGAGAAAGCAAGTACAGGTGAAGGAGAGAGAAGACCTGAGAGAGAGAATATAGATTATAACAAAATTATAGAAAGAGAAATGGAATGAGAAAAGAAAAAGGTGGGTCGGACAAGAGAAAATAGCTACCAAAGTCAACGAATCATTAGCTAAAACTAATGCGTCATTAGTCAGATTTTTCATTAATCTTTAAAATCTTGAGAAAATAAACCAGAATTAGAATTAGGATCCTCTTTTTCTTCCTAAATCCCTCCATCTCACTGGCCACAATGACACCAAGTATTCCACCTCTAATGGGACCCCTCTCCTCATTAAAAACAAGAGAGAAAAGGAGAGAGAGGGAGAGGGAAAGGTATGCTCAGGCCCTTATTTAAGGAGCTAACACCTAAAAAAAGAAACCACATAACAGAGGGCAGAGAAATAGAGAGAAACACCTCAAATGTAGGCAAAAAAAAAATGAGAATGGAATTGTGGGAGGAAAACTGAGTTAAGAATGGTGCATGAAGGAAGTAAGGAGGCGGCAATGCTGGGAAATAATAATGAGACCGGAAGAGAGCGGAGAGGAGGAAGAGGAGATGGGAGAAGAAAGAGTTTGTCCATCTTGATTAGGATGTGTAAAGCTACACATTTTCAAGACAAGCAGACTAATTAGTCTTAAGGAAACCCTGTATAATTAAGTTGATTTCAGGTTCACCTGACCCCTATAAGACGTGTTTCTTTGGGAGTGTTTACATAAAGCACTTTCTTCTGTTCAAAAACAGCTAGACAGAGCGCAGCGGAATAAAACCGGGACCCTGAAACTTTTTTTATTATTGTTTTTAACACATCATCTAAACAACAGCTGTAGCAGTACGCTCAAAAAACAGTGTGAGGCATGACGCAACAACTAAAAGCATCCGTCTGAATGTCTATGACTATAGTGCAATGCTAAAGGGGGTGATTTTAAAGAGAGCTTTTAAGCAGCTCTTTCAAAACAATGCAATTCTGGGGTCTCATATCTATCGACTGTTTTAGCTGAAAACACATGTATTAAACAACAAGAACGCCCGTGATCAACCATGTATTAAACTTAAAAAAAAAAAACCTTCCCTACTACTTACACTACCATTCAAAAGTTTGAGATAATCAAAACTTTTATTTAGCATGGACGGATTACTGTCCCTTTTGATCTACCTTCTTTTTTTAACTTTTTGTTTATCAAAAAATCTATCCTTATTTTCACAAAAATATTTAGAAGCACAACTGTTTTCAACACTGATAACAATAAGAAATGTTTCTTGAGCATCAAATCAGCATATTTGAATAATTTCTGAAAGATCAGATGACACTAAAGACTAGGGTAATGGCTGCAAAAAAATTAAGCATTTTCATCACAGGAATGAATTATTTTAAAATAGATTAAAATAGAAAACAGTTATTTGAATTTTTAATAATACTTCACAATACAACTGTTTTAATGATCAATGCAATGCAATCTGGCTGAGTATAAGAGACTTTAGAACTTTAGAAAAATCAAAACCTTACAGACTCCAAACTTTTGAAAAGTAGTATATCATAAAACCTACGAAAGGAAGTGCAGCATATGATTGGTCGTGCATCACTTACCTCACAGAAGAGTGTCAATTTGTCATCAGGCAGCAGCCCGTTGGCCTCATCGAGGAGGAAGTCTCGCCTTATGAACTTCTTGAACCCCCAGTCTTTTCCTTGTACGAAGCGATATGCCCGCTGGCTCTCTGCACAAAAATGAAAAAAATACAGCATATTGGCACAAAATTGATTAGGTAGACACAGAACACCGGCCTTACTCCAGGTCTCTGTAATTATATGACCTGTTAACAAAATCTCATCGAAGGAACTTTCACCACAATATAAAACATGCACTAATTTAGTCAAGTATTAGAGTGAGGCAAGACATCTCACACATATCTCAGACTAATCTGAATCCAAATACTCTTTAAGAGGCTTTTCTGCCTATCTGGCAAGGTCTATAATCTTGCTCTCCATTAATTTCTGCATTATAACCAGTCTGATTATTCTGTGCTTTTTCACTCTCCTGCGGTTTCTCTGAAAGCAACTTAAACCTCTATGAATGCATTTGTATTTTTATAGCTACTACGTCCAAACCTTCACTCCATCTTGACTGCAGATGTTTCAGCTGACCAGCAGGATCAGGTTCACATAACCAATGCTGGAAGGTATTTTGAATTAAAAAAAGATAAGAGAAAAGAGATGAGAAGGAGAACAAGGGGAAGGGAAATAAGTGGAAGAGAAAGGAAGACAATGAAGATGAAGAGGAAGATGAAAAGGAACAAGAATAAGAAGGGAAGAATCTACAAGAGAAGGAAAAAGAACAAGACAAGAATGTGAAGAAACAAAAACAAAAAGAAGAAAAAGGAACAAGAAAGAGAAGAAAAGAAGGAACAAGAAGAGAAGAATGAACAACAAGAATACAAGAAAGTGATGCAGAATCCAGATGTGCCGACAAAAATCCTACTGGAGGATTTCTCCTTAGTCACTGCTTTCATACACAGAAGGGGAGAGAAGAGAAATGCATGACACAGGAAGTGGCGAAGAGTGAAAAAAGGAGAGATGAATAGATTCCTTTGTGCTTTTGTTGCATAGTGCGTATGTGTGACAAGCACACTCTATCAAGTGTGGCATCCTCTCTCTCTTCCTAAACGTTACACTTGTTCTAGTGAAGCATCTTTCCTCTTTTCTCTGTCGGTCGAGTGCAGCTGGGGCTCAAGTCATTGCCGGTTAATCTGCGGCTGTTTGTTTGTGTGTGTGCAGGTGTTTTAACATGGTGTGAAATGGCTTTGTGTTCAACTGTGACAGACATACAGATCTACGCAATGGGGGAGCACTGAAAGGGCAACCAAAGACATGCCTCAGGAAGACCCTTCACATCGGAACTTAAGTCACAGTAACTTTGCAATAGCTGCTGCTGGCATCCAATAGCAGAAAGGCCCATATAATACTAATTATTATGATTACTATATTTGACATATAGGGAAAAAATGCCCATTTTAGGAACATACATTTTTGAAATGTGATAATTAAGCACATGCCCACTACAGATTCTTTTTACATAGATGTAACATTACATATTTTAGATGTATTAACACTTTGAAAATTTTACATTCACATGTTTTACAATGAGAATTGGGGGATAAAGGCAGTTGAGAAATGTGCAAAATTGTCACGTAAATAAATTAATTAATTAACTAACTAACTTTGTGGCCAAGCATCACTTTATTTTTGTTAAATTAAAACAAATGATAAATGTTGTCTTTTAGTTTAGTGGAAAACTGACACATCTTCGAGATTTATATAGCGACAGAACAAGAAGTTATAGTGCAATTTAATGAGACATACATAAATGATACATCTCAAAATGGTCAAGTATCAGCCAATTTATCGGTCTAAGTTATGCCTCTGCTGAAGTATTGCTTCCAGGACTGCCCGTATTGCTCATGGGCTGTGATGTCTCGAATTGGACAGACAGGAGTGTTCACAGATGGCACGGTTTGATTCAGCTGCTTTGGAGAACATGCTGATGGACCGGTGGGTAATTAACCCTCCCAGAATCAAGGACTCCTCAGTAAATCAAGTTACTCACCTATTAAACAGGAGAAGCAGAATTTCAAAACATACATTTTCAAACCCCACACCATACGGGCATGAACACACTACAGGTGAAAGCAACTTTGCTGGTCATTTGATGACAAAAAAGGCCAAAAACAAGCATAATGTTTAAGCATAACCCTTGACCATAGATGCACATAATGGAAGACTGACTGAGAAAGTGAGAAAGAGAGAGAGAGAGAGAGAGAGAGGTGGAAAGAAGAGAGACGCTGATTGGTCTCTCGAGGAGGTCTGGGGTCAGATCAGGGCAGTGGCTAAATTTGTGCTTTCATTGGGGACGTCTAGCAACTAACCAATTGCAGTAGGGCAGGGCAAGTTCCTGTTGGCATCCAACCAAGGTCAGGCCTCTGTGGACACGAATACACAAGGAGTGTTTTAGGACATCTGACAGAATACAGCTCCAATAAAAAGGACTGACAGATGGATTATGCATATATAGAGGGAGAAGAGAGAGTTAAAGCATTGAAATAGAAAGAGCAGTCAGTGGTAATACATATTCAGGCCCCAGCACTGGGCTTTGGGGCACAGTGTCTAATGTCCTGGCACTCAGAGAGAAAGAGAGAAGGTTGCTCAGATCGCAAATGCACTAAGCATACACACACAGAACGCCAGGAAGGTCGCAAGGCCAAGTTCCGTTTGCCCATACTTTAAACCACGAAATTAATGTTTATTGCATTATTTCAGTATCATGTGTGTCACCATGATGGGGTTTAGTGTTTGTTTGAATGACACTGTGCACCTTCTATAAGTATTGCCCTCCTCATCTCGTAGAAAAGCTTTGATTCATCATGTGACTTTCTCATCACCACTAGTTTTTGGTGGCTATCAGTGCATTACAATGGTTCAAAACAGATATTAGTACTTCAATATGTTGGTTTATTAACATTACATCAGTTAATGAAATACGGTATTTTATTGTGAATTTAAGTTAAGTCTGTAAAACCTAAAATGTTGCTACCATATTTTTTTACGGTGAAGTTCTGGCAACCACAGCTGCCGGTATTTTAACGTAAATGTCACAGATTTTTTTTTACAGTGTAGATTAATTCCTGTGGGCATGCATCAATTGGCCAGAGTTCAACTAGCAAACCCTTTTAATCTGCAACACCGCAATTTCAAACTCCTTGAGAAAGACATTGAGGGTGTGAAGTAGTCTCAGCCTCGGACAAAACACCCATTGACCGCCCACAGATGACCTGATGCGTACTGCGCACACACACACACAAAAAGCTAAAGTTGGCTGAAATAGCCAGTTCTAATCCAGTTGGCTTGCACATATGCATTTTCAGGTGTCAGGATACACAGGTTTTTCTGCTGAAGAAGATTTCCTCATTGGATTTGCCAACATTTTCAAGGACCATGGCATCCAGTCTTTGAAAGAATTCCAAGAATTATACTCAAGCCACTTAGTAGAAAGCAAATTATATCTTTTAGCAGCTGGTATTTTAGTTAGATGGTCGCTTCCTGTCTATATGGGCGGTTATAGTACAGAAAAGCTGTAAAGTGGACAGATTTTACAAGAATAGTCAAAAGTCTGGCTACATGACACTAAAAAGGAAAATATAGCGAGATCTCAACAACAACAACAAAAACATCTTCGACTTACACTCTGCCATTAATAGAGAGTTCAGTAGCACAATGTCAGAACAATAATGTGAGTAAACTGACATTCTCACAACAGCATAAACACAATCCTCTAGTGTAAACACTATCCAATAATTCCTCTTACCTTGACACTCCTATACAAACAGACAGAGAGCAAAACACCTTTAACTGCCTGATATGATAAATCGATTGGGTCTGTAAAAATGTAAAAATGTCTGGTCTCAGGGTGGCCCTCGGCTGGAGTAAGCTGCAACGTGAACCACATTATTTTACTCAAACGTCCGGCTACGTATTGTTAAACTAAAAACTATATATGAGAGTAACAAAAACAGACACAGTTTAATAGCAGGTTATGAAATTAACACCTGCCACCAGCTGAATGGCAATAGTTTTAGCACGTGGCGGGTGACTTGTACGACATCTTGAATTGACTTTTGACAGGAAATGCTGTTGCTTAGAAGCAACGACACGAACTTGAATATTACATAAAACAGACAAAAGAAAAGCTATCAACGTGCATGTTGGACCTACACATCTCACCTTTAGCTTCTGCACGTTGCTGAAAAAAATTGAAATGAAATCCTCATCCTTCTGTGACTTTACAGTGAAACCGTCAGTGTTATAAATGTTGATCTATGGGAGTATTAACAGCTACGGGCCACACGGGGCTGAGAGCAACAGCAGTAAAGCTCTGTTGTGTAAATATTCATCAAACGGTCAATAGCCAATAAAGCACATTCAGAATCAATGTCTGTCAGCATGCAGTCTCATCTGAATAACTACACACAGCACGCAGTGAAAGTATCATCAACTGAGTAGTTTATATACTACCCAACATCCATCCAATCTACAACTGTGTGAATCTTTCGTTTCTTTATTAGCCCAATGCCTCTGACCTTCAGCATCTCAATTTCTAAAAGCCTGTTCACAAAAAAAGAGAGAGATATCTGAAAACAGAATAATTCATCTATATGAACTAATTCTCAGCAAGTCTAAAATATTTATTTAATTTTTTCCTATCTACTTGTTTTCTGTTATTATACAAAAGCTTGACCACCTAACACCAGCACTCTCTGTTCTGTTTCTACTTTTTATTATTTTTATTTATTATTAAAAATACCTATAAAGGACCCTATAAAATAACAATACTTTTACAGCATTTAATAATATAGGTTTATCTTCATTTCTGCACATACAGTTGACTTTAAATATTTCAAGTTAAACGTAAAATTTGACAGTTGAATTAACAACAATCGATAGTATATGTATAAAAAGTTCATTATTTCATAATCTGTAATGAATTAACTAATATTAAATGAACTTTTAATTATTAAACAGTAATGTACTTCTGATTAGCAAAAGCACATAGCAAGAGATGTTTATTGTTGTGACAAACTGAAGGCATATATAATGTGGCATAATTTTAAATATTCCTTTCATATGTCCGGCAAACCAGATCACTGATCATCAGAGAGAAACAGGTTCCTCGGCACCTCTATTTGTTCATCGTCATGCCCATGACTGACTCTGTAAACACAAGTCATGCTGCAAAGTCCCAGTGCCTTCTCACAGCCCTCTTAATTAAAGCACTTTACTTTGTTTTTATTTCTCTCTCTCCACCTCTGCTTTCCCCCCCTCCTCTCTCGTTCATCTTGCTCTCCCCCAGGAGGAGGGCAGGATTAAATTGGATTCTAAATGATCCAGAACCGACAGAGCAATTTCTGCTGCCATATTTTCATCCTTCGTCCCGCTTTAAAAACTCTCCCCATCAATGTATGGTGGCTGTCGGCACTCCCACGTCTCCGGGGATGCCCCAAGCATGTCAACCCCCTCCCCAATTCCGGAGGGGCGGGAAATGGAGAGAACGTTGAGTGGAGGAAAGAGATGGAGGAGAGGGGGGAGGGTGGGGCAAAACACAAGGAGTGCCTTCTCGCCCCTTAAGGTGCAGAAAATGAGAAAATTGGAAAATGAGAGACGGGGTTGTTCAACCTCTCATCTCATCTCGCTGCCACATTCTGGCACCCTTTTCTCTTTCTTTCGCTCCCGTTTCTCTGCCCATATGTGAGATTCTTCAAAAAGATGAGAGTGTGACTGCTGTCCGCACCTCAGTTTCATCTCTCCAGGCCTCACGGAGCTTGCTACCTTTTGTATAACATCTAATACAGGCTTGTATAAAACAAATGTTGAAGAACATTTGTTTTCAATGCTAATATGCATTTATTGTTTGTACAGCACTATAAAACATTGTTTTTAGTGAATTACAGTTCACTGTAAACAAAGATAAGAGAAAGCATTTACTGTATGTCCCTTATACACACGGGCAGAGATTTGGTGAGCTTTAAAGGACCCAGAAATTAAAGTTTTGCCATCATTTACTTTATTTCCAAATCTTTTTTTTTTTTGTCCAGCACAAAAGGTAAATATCCTTGACATTCTTTCAATATAACAGAAGTGGATGAAGACTAGATCCGTCAAGCTCTAAAATGACAAAAAAAAAACGCATTTAAGCATCAAAATGTGGTTCAGGGTTTCTGCAGGATTTTAAAGCTCAAATTTGAGACTTTTTAAGACCTGCACAAATAAAATTAATACCATATAAGCAGGGAAGGGCAGTATCTATGGTAACATTAAACGGTAAAATGATTGTAAAAAACATGATTTACAGTTCAGATACAAGTCTTCACAAAAACAAAAGTTGACCACATCTCAGCCTTTAAACAATTTTTAAGAAAGAAAAAAAAACTATGGTTAGTTAATCCATGGTAACCACAAATTAAACATGGTTTCGCTACACTAACCAGGGCTAGAAATGGGGGGAACGCGGGGGACGGAGTCCAGGGAGTGAATTTCGAGAGGGTACGACGTTCCAGCTCCAACTGGTTAGATTTTTTGGGAAATTAAAGGGATTTCTATGTTTTATTAATTCAATAGCCTATGCACATAAACGTAGCACAATATATAATAATAATCATTTTTAAATGAATCTTTTTGAACAGTCACTTGCTTCGTTCCTGAATGAATCAGCTGTTTGAACCAATCGACTGACTGAATGATTCAGTGACTTGCCGCCACCTATTTAAATAATTTAATATTTAATATAATTTTAAAGCTTAGAATCTCAGCTTTTTAATGAATGCAATTATGTTGATCAACTCTTAACGAGCACTGAGCAGTCCCTCTAAACCCGAGTGTACCGCGGGTGGGACGCCTCCCCCTCCATGAAAATATTACTAATCATATTTTTCAAACCACTGCTTTGATCAACAAAAAATGGATATAATTTGAAAGCTTAGAGTCTGAGCTTCACAATACATGTAGCCGCTTTGGCACTAATTTTCCTCCTACCTTATTTCTGTCCTGAGATATTGAATGTCAAATAAGACATATATGAAAAATTTATCTTGAACACTCCAATTTTTCTTACATTTTATCAGCTATTTCTCAGCAGGAGAATGTCCAAATGAAATACTTTTATTCTCCCTGAAAGTTCAGAAAGTTTTCTATCAAACGATACCAACCTTTTGACTCTCATTGCTACAGTCTTCGAGCTATGAGTCATCAACTCTTAACGAGCACTGAGCAGTCCCTCTAAACCCGAGTGTACCGCGGGTGGGACGCCTCCCCCTCCACGAAAATATTACTAATCATATTTTTCAAACCACTGCTTTGATCAACAAAAAATGGATATAATTTGAAAGCTTAGAGTCTGAGCTTCACAATACATGTAGCCGCTTTGGCACTAATTTTCCTCCTACCTTACCTCCTATTTAAATAATTTAATATTTCTATATTCAGAACTTATTTTAAAACATTCATCATATAAAATTGTTATTTTGAATTTAAATGCTTTCATGCCACCTCTGAGCCTCATTAAACAGTCTGTAAATATACCTAAATGCCACTTTTGTGTTCTTCTGTGCCACCTCTGTAGTGCAAAGATACATTTTTTGATATTGAATTTGATTGGTAACTTATGCTTCCTGACTGTGTCTTATTATACTAAGTGAATGTATTGTTATAATTAACAAAAAATATATAATTACACGGGGGTGCCTTTGATCTTGATACCTAAACAACATATGGTTTAGAAGAAACATGAAATAAGTTTAATGTTATAGATTATAAATGTTTTTATAATTAATTAAATCTAAAAGGTCGTCTAAAAATTACCCCAACTTAGAGTTCCCCCAGTGAATTTTGGTCATTTCCACCACTGGCACTAATCATAGTTTAACCATGGTATTTTTTTTAGTAAAACTATGGTTATACAAATGGTAGTCAATATGCTAAAAAAAACAAAAAAAACATGGTTACTACACTTTTACTATAGTAAAACCATGGTTAATTTTCGTAAGGAAAAGCTATCAATTATTAATGTAAACAACTATTATCAATCAACTATTAATTAAATATATTTTACTGTCTTAATCGTTTACATTTTTTCATACTCATATAATATGCATATTGATCTTTTCAATGTGTTATGTTTGCTTTTATAAATGTACATTCACCAGGTTTTAACATCCACGCCAGGATGTCAGAAACTATGGTTATACAAATGTTAGTCAATATGCTAAAATAAAATATGGTTACTACACTTTTACTATAATAAGACCATGGTTAATTTTCATAAGGGAAAACTATCAATTATTAATGTAAACAACTATTATCAATCAACTATTAATTAAATATATTTTACTGTCTTAATCGTTTACATTTTTATAATGCATTATCTTCTTGTTGATCCACCAGTTCACATTTACAACACTGCGTGTTTGCAGCGTAAAGCCACATGGGTTGATTTTCACATTGGTCCGATCAAAAACAGCAGCTCTACCAGCAGGAGGCGCTTTTGAAGCTGCAGAAATACTGCGGTTTCCCCGGTAACAGCAGAACACAAAGCAGTGCAGCAGCGGACTCTGAAATGTGCAGCGCTCCTGTTTATTTAATATATTCATAGCCTTTTGAAATTTAATCATCACATTCAGCCATATCGCAATTCTTGTCCCCAAATTTAAGACCTCTTGAAATCATAATTAAGACTTTGTTCAATTTAAGACTTTTTATGGCCTTAAATTTGATACAACTAAATTTAAGACTTTTTAAGGACCCACAGAAACCCTGTGGTTTAAATGTTGTGTGCTATATTCCATGTCCTCTGACGCCATACAATAGCTTTGTGTAAGGAACACACTAAAATTTCATTAAAACCTTGACATTTGCCCCAGCTGCACTTGGCAATTGATTCAGTACACAAAAAAAGGTAATAAAAAAAATGAATCATGATCATGAATCAGACTAACCCGGTTCACGAGTTTAACTCCCGATCAGTTGCAGCAGTTAAAGATTACTTAACTTTAATTCATTATTTGATTATTTTTTAATTTGATTATTTAAGATTATCGGTGAACCACCAAAATTTCAGTCTGTCACATAAATCTATCATATGGCTTCAAAACACCCGTAATATACTGTAATGCACAACATATGGAGTCACTTTATCATTCACTTTTGTTGCTTTTGCATCCATTTTGAAATTTGAAAACTACAGTCCTCATTCATTTGACATTTGCATTTTACATTATACGTTCCATGGAAGAAAAAAACTCATTGGGTTTGACATTGGGTGAGTAAATGATGGCAGAATTGTGAACTTTTGGAGAGTGCAAAAACTCTTTAACTGTTTGGAAAAAGTAGAATGTTTAGTTGTATACTAAAGCTCCTAACCAAACACACACACTTCTATTGCACCACTTCTTCTCTATACCAATAAACTCCCTGCAAGCTGACCTAACGCACACATACACATACTCATATAATATGCATATTGATCTCTTAAGAGTTTGATCGACATCTCACCCATAGCTTTGGTTTCCTCGCCCTTGGCATTAAGGATGGAGAACTTGAACTTTGCCCGAACCTCGCTCTTAGGACAGCTGACCAGGAGCAGATAGAGTGACAGATAATCTTTACTCTCTTCATCCAGACCTTTTGGATTCACTCGCAAACACCTGCTCAAAAACAAAGAATTTTACATCAACAGCTAGACTTTGTTTTATACTAAATAAAGTTTATCTGACAAGAAAAAAAAAATATTTTAATAAGATGCAAATCCTTGTGCGCTCCTCCCCGTCTTACCATTTAAGCTTGTCATTGGCCCCCGAGGAGAAGGTGGAGCTTTTGATGACCTCGCCCATCTCCTCCCGGCAGAAGCTGAAGTTGTTGATGGTCCACATATAGGAGAACTTAACCACTTTGATCTGGACAAACACAAACACACAAGAAGATAACAGACAAGACACTTCATTCTTCCATTTATCCATCTACTTTTTTCCCTTTCCTACATTAGATCCGCAAGTGTTGGCCAAGACATCAAAAAGCGACACATCAAAACCGCCTTTTATCTTAATATGTTCTGACAACAAACAGGATGGGTAGAACAAGGGATAAAAAGACCTCAAACAAAAACAGTGGGGGAGAATGATGGCAAGATAAATGAAAGCATTAATGGAACATGTTTCACTAGTCGTGGGGATTCTGAACACTCTGGAGGGTCCTGTGAAGTCACACACACTCAAAACACAGAGAAGATAACGGCCATATATATTTTTAGACAGAAATATACACCGATCACTCAGATACATACAGAGATGTTTTCTCAAACACATATTAGGTTTAGTATTATGTAATATGCTTATATTATTTATATTTTTATAAAATATTGGTAATTTATTTAAATACTTTTATTCTGCAAGGGTCTTATTGCTCAAAAGTGACAGTAAAGACTTTTATATTCTTACAAATACATTTTGTTTCAAATGAACGCTGCTCTTTTGAATGAACTTTCTACTCATCAAAGAAACAAACAAAAAAAAAAAGTTTCATGGTTTCCACAAAAATATTATAAGCAAATGTTTCTTGAGCACCAAATCAGCATATCATAATGATTTCTGAAGGATCATGTGACACTGAAGACTGGAGTAATGATGCTGAAAATCCAGCTTTGCATCACAGGAATAAATTATATACATTACAAAATATACATTATAAAACATTCAAATAGAAAACAGTTATTCTGTTTTTTTACTTGATTTTTGATTAAATAAATGCAGCCTTGGTGAGCATAATACTGCAAACATGTATTTATTTTTTCCCAGAATGAAAAAGAGCAACATTAACATTCTGATAAACTACTCCTTTTGTGTTTCACAGAATGAAGTCACAGGGATTTGAAACAACACATGAGTTAATTAACAAAGGTCATTTTTACCTTTAAAATGTTATTTCAAAACTACTTCTAATTCCATTCAGCAGAGAAAAAAAAGGATGTAGATCCCACATGGGCCTGTTGATCAGACATTTTTAGCATCGGACGAGACTTAATATGACTTAATACCAGGGGTGCTCAGATCTACACCTGGAAGATCAAGCTTCCTGCACAATTTAGTTCCAGTCTTGCTCAAACACACCTGCCAGTAATTTTCAAATAAGCCCATGAAGTTTGATTGGCTGGTTCAGGTGTGTTGGATTAGACGGGGAACTAACTCTGAAGATAGACCACCAGAATTGAGCAACCCTGTCACAGAGTATACAGATTCACCAATTGACCCAGAACCACACACACACACACACTCACCTGTGTGTAACACCAGCTTTCGGCCACAGGGCCGCTGGTCATTTCTGCAGGAGGCGGAGGACTCGGCACCCTGGACATCGCCAGTTTTGAGCGTTGGGGGTGGGGTATGGGGATGGTCACTACGCCAGCCACCGCAGGACGTCCCCGACAAAGCACACACACGTGATTTCTCACTCAAAAGCAAATAATGCTCATGCACGCATGTGTTTTTCACAGCCGCCGCCAGGATCCGGGCACACACTCGTGTTCAGCGTAACCCAGAGAACATAAAGGGAATGCAGGCAGAACCTTGAGGTGTTTTTCAGTATGCCGTCCAGTTCATTAGTTTTACAATCTGTAGCAGAGAAAACAGACAGCAAAAACAGATTGAGAATTTATTTCAAAATCTTTAAACTTCGATCTTCAAAAATAATTTAAATAAAATTAATTAAAACAATTTATTAGTAGTAGTATTAGGTCTGTGTACTTCCATTCATTTTTCAACCATGACAAAAAAAACAAAAAAAAAGAGCGCTCCGCTTATAATCACTAAAAAAACGTCACTCATTTCAGTTTAACGCGATCTCTCAAAGTTCCGTTATAATCAAGTCAAGTCAAGTCAAGTCACCTTTATTTATATAGCGCTAATCCTGTGGCAAAAACAGAGAAACAAATAGGGACATAATTAGCGTAGCTGCTGTTCCAAGCAAGCAAAATTGATTTGTTTAACCCAAACTAAAGAATAATAATAATGTGCATTTGATCAGATATAACTGCAGTACAAGATTATGATATGCATTATTTGAATGCTTGGCCAAAGAGATGTGTCTTTAATCTAGATTTAAACAGAGAGAGTGTGTCTGAACCCCGAACATTATCAGGAAGGCTATTCCAAAGTTTGGGAGCATAATCAATGAAGCTGTACACTGCACAATGAATCTCTTATTTACATCATGTTACACTTTGTTTGTTATAATGAGAGACTCCCGAGTGTGCAACACTGAACAAAACTCTTTTCAGCAGTGAGTGGATTCTAACTTAAACGCTTGGCCATTGCGTTCAAGAAATCAACAAAAAATGTTGGTCATTGGCTACACTTATCAATGCTACAAAAACACATTGAAAATAGAAACCTTTGAAGCTCTCCAGATTTCAAACACAAATACACACTGGAGCGTTTGGAAAATATGTTTCGCCAGTATCCTATTTCTACAGCTTCAACTGAGGTGCTCTTGCTTTCGTTTTGTTCCCTCTAGCACTCCCGTAAAACCGGTCCTGGATACAATTAAATGCAAAGAAATATGTAATGAGTATTTCATTCATGTTTTCAGGCATGAAAAATTATCCAGATCATAAAAACATCGAGGCCAAAGCCACGTCAGTAACGCGAGAGGGCGTTTATACCGTCTGTATAGAGACACTAAAAAAGCTAGAAATTAAATTTAGCATTTATATAGGTTACATTAAAAAAAAACAAGCTTTATATGATTTTTACGAATTTTAATGAAATACGTATTTTGAATAATGAAAATTAGTTTGTGTCTACTTATTCTATTTATCAGTGTTGGAACCATTAAAGAAAAAAGTATTTCGTTTCCGTATTTCGAAAAATGAATAGACGCATAAGTACACGGACCATAATAATATTAAATTGTCTTTACTAGTTCATGTATAAAAATGAATAATTCCATATAAAAATAAGTTAATTATTGTATTAATAAAAGTAGTATATTTCTAAAGTATTTTAAATAAATAAATAAATAATATTTTCATGATGAGTGAAGAGACCAGATAACTGATTCACCATTAACAAATTGAAATTATTTGTTAAAATTAAATAAAATTAATTAAAACACATATTACATGTAGTAGTAGTATTAAATTGTCTGTAGTAGTTCACGGATACAAATAAATAATACATAACTAATTAAAAAATATATTATTTTAATACAAATGGTATATTTACATTGATGTTTATTAATAAATGAATAAATTGTGTTTTAAAGCCATAGTGAGTGAAAAAACAATTCCATACTGTTCTACATACAGAACCCCCCCAAAAAAAACAACACTTGCTGTGCCGATTTTGTACAATGGCAAAAAAGGTATGTACGAACCACTAAAATATGCAGAATCAAACAAACCACCACATCTTGTGTACTGTTTGATCTCCGTTTGGTAGATACGTCTACATTTGCCACTGGTGTCAGAGTTAAAGCCAGATTCAGAAGCACCATCAGCAACTACAGCGAGTTTAAATCCGTCAAAGCTACGTCTTTATAATGCTGGAGGAAAAAACTATTTCTTATTTTCCCCTTGTGTGAAAAAGCCCTCCCTCTCTTTTCCAGGAGAAAAGCACATTCATCATTCTATTGGCTCTCTTGTTCATTTCCCCTCAAACCTCTGAACCTTCAACCTTTTCAATCTTTTTTCTTCAAACCAAAATATAAATAAATAAAACAGAACCTCAGGACTAATCCTTATTTTTCCTCTTGCTGCTGCTAATTAAGGCACTTTAATCGTTAGCTGGATCCACTCTAGCCATTAATGAACTGACCAGAAACACCAAACTAGCCACTTATCTAACAGTACAGTAAGTCATTAATAAGGCTAATTAATGGATATAAAAACAGTCCAAGGGAAGCTTGTGACTGATAACCAATTAAAGCAGAAAAGCAAATTTCTCGCTCCATGAATGACATTTATAAATGTTTAAAGAACACATGGTCAAAGGGCCTCACGGTCATGAGCTAGGTAGAAACATCTTTATTAAAATACATCACTTATAGGTAACTTTTTAATTTACTTCACAGAACAGCAAGATTTTCTGTGGTCAGATCAGAAAGTTATGAAGAGTTGGACATTTACCAGACACGCTGACTGGGGGACCTTTGATTTTAGCTCAACTTTAAAGAAAAAAATACAAGTATTATCCTCTCTTTTCTCAATCTGAAGCGACCTCATCACCCTTTCATCTCTCACTCCTCTCTCCATTTTTTACTGTTTTGCGCTCTTCTCTCCCCTTTCTCACTCAACCTGCACATCCCTTCGTCTGCGAGCGAGAGAGACGGAGACGTTTCTTTCCCCTAATTAGCATCTGACTGAAAGGATAGATCACGGCCCGGCGGAACCTTCTGTAAATTGTGCGACGATTTGAAAAAGAGAATGACAGAGGAAGAGTATATGGTGGATAAAAAAAATGAACAGTGTATTGTGGGGAGGAGAAAAGAAAAGAAAATATTAGGAGAATGAAAAGGTCAATTCAAAACTTTTCAGAAGTACAGAGCAACTCATCCATTTCCTAACTACACACTAGGGCCGAGTGATAGTTAAATTATAACCCAATATTTTTCAGCTATTTAACAATACAGAAAATAGATCTCGATATTTATATATTTGCTCTGAAACGGCTTAAAAGAATGATTTTTCCAATTAGAGGAAGAATCATTTTGACTGAATTGTCATTTTATCCAAGTAGATTCCAAATGTTGAAGTAAAATCTATTTAAAAATAAACGTCTTGAAGACAAGGAAGAATATGTAATAATTATTTCATAATTATAATAATTTTGGTCACAAAGCACATCCACACTGCTGACATAACCTGTTATGACTTATCCTCACTGTGCGCACAAAATAGACTCTGGCAGTCAAAATGTCATTAGACAAGCACTAACTAAACATCACTGTTTTCTTTTCTTTTTTTCAGTTTTCAAATATTTTCAGTTGCTGAAATTTGATTCCTATTAACAATTTTATTTACAGAACTCAAACTTACCAATTCACCACATTTGCTACACAAGTTAAAAGAGACAATATAAAGACAATAGACAATGTGAAATTTGTCTTATTGCTTTTATACTTGCAAGTTGTGAATCCTTTAGGAAACTTAAATAAAAAGAACTTTAAAAATAATTGTGATATTCACAATGTTGCTAAATTTTATATAGAAAAATCACCATGAAAATAAAGAATATTGGATGTATTGCCCAGCCCTATTACACACACCAAAATTAATGTTCAGAGGCAATATCCATTACCTTGCAACTCATTATTATCAGTTAAGCCAATCTCTCTTTTTTCCCTCCTTCCTTTGTGCTATTTGTTTCTGATGAAAAACACTTGTGGCATTTCACTCAGTAAAACAATAAAATATTAATCATTCAAGTCGGGGAACAAGTTGGTGTCCATTTGCAATTCAAATTACCACTGACTTCCTGCCAATTAATTTCCACGCGCGTGTCTCCCATCATGTGTCTCCAGTTATCTATTTTCTGAACTTCATTTCCAGTGGTCTTTGTATGCTCATCTATTGGCACTGTCAATGCAAACTCACCTTAGGCAACACAATATCACTCACGAATCAGCTAACAACCTTTCAGCACTGAAAACACACACACAAACAAACAACAGGTTACACTCTACACAACTGCAAGTTTAACAGGTAGGCCCTCACAGATTCAGCGTACACACAACTCTACAGGAAATCTCACGTATTTCCAGAAATCTATAATTATCTGCAAAGTTCTAGTTTGCATCCATAAAGTTTTGGTAATTTGTTTTCAGTTAGCAATAAAAGTGCAGCATGTTCAGGTGTATTTAACACACTTAAATGCATTCCACAAATTCCACAGAAAATCTTGTAATTCTGTCTGTGCCTATACAGGCGATAGCCCACACACGAACAGGATGCACACACATACACTTCAGCTGTCAGATAAGTATGAGAGAGGGAATCTGAGCATGCAGGCATACACCAGATCAAAGAAACAGCATGTTTTTACATGTGATCCTGTTCATTAGTTTGCAAACTACTCAATACGTGACTTTATAACTTGACCATGCACACATCATCTAGGGATTTAAGAGACAATGATGTTTAAACCTTAATTTCATAGCAAAGAATCCATATTTGGTCAATACACTAACAGGGCTTGATGCTTAAATTTTTTCCCAAGAGGCACTAGTGCTCCTACTTTAAAAAATGTAGAAGTGCACAAAGAACTTGGGTACAATGAAAACTGATCAGATAATTTGTTTTTCCTTACTAAAGGAATATGAGGAAACAAGCAAAATTATTTAATATATTTGAACACAAAAAAATTATACTAGGTTTTTAAATATTTCTGCTTCAAACTATATGCATTTAACAATTATGGATTTATTTATATTTTTTCTATTTAAACGCTAGATAGTTTATGTAACTGAAATACCAATAGTAACCAGAAAAAAAATATCTTCTGCATGATGCATGACTTAACTGTAAACAAGCCCCATACCATATGCTCTTATTTTAAAATGTCTTTACTACTTTACTACTATCAGTGAGACAAAATATGCACTCTTACAATCTAGA